AGAACTTTTCTCACAAAGACGAGTTTTGAATTGAGCTCTGCTGTTATGGCAAGTGAGCTGGGGCCCTGAAAAAGATCCGAGAGGATAATGAAACAGAAACTTCCATCTACAACCCACTGTGCCAATTGATATAAGTATTGGATAAAGAAACAGTTTAATTTTTAGATTGACATACATTTGTATTAATAACGAAAGTTACCAAAATCAGATTAAACAAACGAAAGCTGTTGTCAAACAGCAAACATATTTATAGCTTGTTTTGACCGCTGCATATCAATGTTTGACCCCTCAATACTAATTCTCACTAAATAATAGAAATACTTAATGTTATTTTTATCATAAATTTCATCATTTGCATACATTTGAATTAGCAGTTTCGGCTAAAACATAAAATCTTAAAACAAAAAAATAAGAAATGTAATCAAAAGTGAAGTTTAACACTTATGCAAACAATTTTGACATGGAATGTGTTTGGTAAAATAGCGTATTTGATCGACTTCTATTTCATATTGCCAGCTCGTACATATTTTACACCTTTGTATACATAAGCTCCACTGGTCATTTGTTTGATGAAGATGACGGAGTACATAAAAATACCTCACTAGTTATTGAAACGTTACACATAACCAATCCACAATGTATTCGGAACTGACTCATATGATGGTACATTTACAAGGAAGTATTTGAGGTTTTCCAGAAAATGGAAAAACATTCAGAATGCATAGTCCCACTTTCTTCTCTCATACGCTATAGTCTCGTGTTGAATGATATACACTACATTCTCATAAAGAGACAATATTTTGTTCTCGCTGTTTGCGTCTGCATTGCATTAAAGATTAACCTTTGGGAACCTTTGTCGTCTTCCTAAGTATATCGGTAGTTCGTGAAAAAGCTTTCACACGAAACTAAAACACTGACAAGTCAGCTAGCGCCCCTCCGTACGCCTGTCCGTTCAGCAACCCACCTACCACTATCTTTTTAGTAGCATTGACCTTAACTTTAAAATTAAAACAATAAACCCCTATTGCATATCGTATTGTTATAGTGTACCATCTTGTCAAATTAAAAGATTGTTCTTGCTTCATAGGTAAAGAGTGTCATCTCCCCTAGTCTCCCCTTTTCTATTTAGTAGCAGTGACCTTGGCTTTGAACTTTTTTTACTCATACCGCACATATTCATATCACAATGTATCACCGTGTCATATTTAGGAATTATTGGTATTTTGGATTCCATGATAGGGCCACGTTGGACAAGTGGTTAAGGCGTCTGACATTCTGTTACCACTAACCTTCCGCCACTGGGTCGCGGGTTCGAGACCCACGTGGACCAGTCGCCAGGTACTGGCCGTAGGTCGGTGGGTTTTTTCAGGGAACGCCAGCTTTCCTCAACCACCAAAACCTGGCACGTCCTTAAATGACCATAGCTGTTGATATGACGTAAAACACAAGCAAACAAACAAAGATTTCTTGATATCCTGCGGAAAGGAAAGTGTCAACGATTAGGGAGACGGGCACAGTGATAAATATACCGCAACCCATATGTCTGGCGCGGGGCCCTTATAAGATTACAAATGGTCAGATTCTTAAAACATGAGGCAAGTTAAACTAAATGGCGAATTATCAGAATTGGTGGTTATTTCATCTGCAGAAACAACAAGTTAATCGTCTTTTTATATAAAATGCAGACAAATATAGTAGTTGATATTTTTCCTAAGCCTGCTTTGAGTATTACTTCCAGATAAACATGACTTAAGGAGATTATTACAACCAACAGTTTTGAGTTGTTCAGCGATTTGTAAACTTGAAATGAGCTTTTTATCTGCTTTATTAAAAGAGCCATGTCTCAACGACCTTTAATCTTGTAGTCAATATTTTTTCAACTTTTCATTGTTGTGAGTTCTGGCTTGAAAATAATAAATGGTCCGGAGTTAAGTTGTATAAGTGTAGGGGAACACCTAACCAACTTGTGTGCAGGTCAACTGTCGCAAAGGCTGATTTCAGTGTATATCCGCCTTTTAAACGGATCGAATACATTTACGCAATGCATGTATTAATTATTGCTTACCAGATTATATATGAATAAAAAACAAACACGTCGTAAGTCATGTTAAATAATTTTAATGTATTGCACTGAATAAGGTACAATGTTATGTTAATACTTCATACATGCCTCTATCGCTTCCTTGATATTCAATACAAAATGATATCATTACTAAAATGTGGTTAAAGGAATAAAATCTTAATTTGGTTTATATTATGACCCAGAAATGAAGTCATATGAACTGGCTATATCTACAGCACAGGGACTAGGGGCAAGGAATTACCCCGAGATAGATTAGGATACCATAAAATATTTGTCTTTTCAGACCATTTTGAGTGTCCTTAATCCAAGCTCTAGTTTAGTCACCGGACCCTGTACAACAATATAAATCATTCAAATATGTTAATCATGCCAAATTACCTTGAATAAACGTTCAAGTGCATTCATTTGAATGTATTTGTGTTCCCTTTCGTCAAGTTAAGATTTGAACATATTCGACACAGGTGACCTGGAATAAAGGGCAAAATATTAATAAAAATGATAGCCCTTTTATTCCCAGATATCTCCTGGTAAATCATCATGAATCCAAACCTTCATGAACTTCAGAAGTTGTTATTATTTTACTATATCAAACTTCAGTGATCTTGAAGAAATTCAATGCCGCCCTTGATCTAATTTGTTTGTCTCTTATCTATGTTACCTACCTGTCAGATATCAAGACCCTGGGTCTTCTGAAACGTAAAAAGGCATTAGTCATTTTATAATTTTAATACTTTTCCTGCGACCTTTACTAAAGATCAAGACAGTTTGTTTTAACATTACTGATTCACCTTCATCCCAGCTGTTTTGCCAAATACATGACTCTATGCTTCATTTATCTTTATGAGTTGTCGAAAATATCAATTATTAACGGACGACAAACAACGGAAAATGACGAAAGCCAATGGGTCACTTGAGCCTTTGACTAATGGGAACTAAATTATGAAAATTATTTTTGATTGTCCGAATACCCAAGGATAACTTTGCAAAAGCGTTTGGAATATAATCAGACGTGTTTAAAGACATTATCAAGTACTTATTTTAATTCTTTAGTACTGCTGAGATCATTTTGCATTGAATGTCGCCTGTTGAGGTTTAATCTGATTGAATATATAGGACATAAACACAGCAAACACATTAAAAATGAACAATAGATATTCCATGGCCAACCCTTAATAAAGTAGAAACACATGATATGTCCACAGTCAAATGTGTTCCGTCAGTATTGTATACGTCAGCCATCACATGATGTTTTTAGATTATCTAATGAAAAGTGCAATATGAATTTAAATATATTTACCGTATGATGATATATAAAATATATAATGTGGTTTCAGCTTATTTATGACTCAAAGAATCTTGTTTCATGACTCAAAATGGAAGAGACAATGGCGTTTGATTAAAATCTGATTCCGTCATTGTTTACAGTTTACAATAAAACTTTAAACAATAGGTTTTTACAACATACCTTTATTAATCAAACAATATAAGTTAGATTACTTCAAGAACTAGTTTCTTTTTCCGCTATACATTCGTTTATACTTTTGTCCGATACTCTGACCACCCCCTCCACCACTTGTAGTCACACAACGTGACACTGTGTTGATTTCATGTTATCATTTAATGGTGTGTTTTTAATTGGGGTATATGTATCTTGGCGTTAACTTACAGACAAAATCGGAAATATCACAATGTACCAGTAAGAAATAAGAACTCTTCCAAATTAAAGGTTGAAATAGTCCATCATGAAACTTAAAGAGTGAATGAATTAAAGAGATAAGGCAAAATAAATTAAATAATTAATACACAAAAAGCAATATCACTCTATTTGACGGCTGCAGTCGACGTACAATTCGATAGTTGTACCATATTATATTATTCTTAATTTGAGATCGAAAAACTCATATGAGGATATCATATCTAAAGTAGCCATACAGCAGCATAAAGATATAAATTAATATGTATAAATATTATAAAAGTGTATCACAGAAACAAACATATCTCGTTTCAATGATAACGGCGTTTTGTTTCTCTCACATGCTTCACATGAATGTAATATAAATACCACACATATTGTTGAGGACTCTGTACCATAAAATTGAAAGAGAACTGACTAAAACCTTGGTTAATATATAAGTTTCTTCCAAAATAATCAAGACAAGGAGGTGAAACATCTGGTATTGCTGTCAAAATGCATTTTAAATGACTCTAAATGTACATTGGTCCATCATAGGACACATGTAATAGTTGACAAAGAATATCATCAGATCGTTTCTTTGCATAATTGAGTGTTTTCAAACATGATATTTGGTTTAGAAATTTATAAATAACCTAGCTAAATTATTAAAGGTTAAAACATATTAGTTGTGTAAAATGTTTAAAAGGATCTAACTTGTTTGTGAAGTGTAGTAAATACTTTTAACTTCAAGTATTAGCAACCTTTTCTACCACTATTCACAAATCTATTTCTCGTTTAACTAGTCATGATTATTTCTCTGTTATCCCCTAGGGTAGGGTGTCTCTGTCATCCCTAGGGTATGATTTATCTGTCACCCCTAGGTTCTGATTTCTCTATAATGCCACACTGTAATATTTCGCTATCAACCCCTAGGGTAGGGTGTCTCTGTCATTCCTAGGGTATGATTTATTTGTCACCCCTAGGGAACTATTTCTCTGTAACCCCCTACGGTAGGATTTCTCTGTCGGCCCCTAGGGTATGCTTTCTCTGTCACCCCTTAAGAAATGATTTCTCTGTCACCCCATAGGGAATCATTTCTGTGTCACCCCCTAGAGTAGGATTTCTCTGTCACCACGTAAAGTAGGATTTCTCTGTCACCACGTAGAGTAGGATTTCTCTGTCACCCCCATAGGGAAGGCTTTCATTGTCACACACTAGGGTTTTACAGATAAGTAAAACGAAGCAATACTATGACTTCATTGGAGCTATCCGTATGACGTCACAATTAGCGCACAATTGGAGATATCATGTGCAAATCAGGACAAAAATAGTTTACAAAAAAACGTTTTTGCTTTCAACATAGTATTAGAATTATGGGAAAAAAATAATTCTTCCCTATTTTCAGGTTTAAACAGAAATCCCAATTATCGGGGTGATTATTTTGTTGCTTAACCTTGGGTAGAGCATTGGCATAAACATCAATATATCACGCCTCGAGTTGGAAATGTTACTGTCACACCTTCAAGGTAGGGGAAGAATATATCAATCAATATACACAAACTTGATGGATATATTCCTTTCGCCATAGACTGACAACCTGGTAGTCTCGTGATACACAATGAGATACACTATTGTCGTCATGGCCAATACTGAATGTTATACTACGTTCAAAAAACGTACGAATGGAAAATAAGAGACAGATGAATGGGCACTATGGGAAATTCATTACACAATAAAATAAGGATACAAATATCATGATTAGTTGACAAACGTTTTTCTCTGTCTATAAGAAAAATATGTTATCATATAATAAAGGTATTATTATTTTGAAATGAAAAAGGTAATTATGAAAAAAGTCAACAAAATATCAATGATATTACTATTGCCGATTTCCAAGATAAAACATAATTTTTATCTCGTTCTTATCTCATTTCCGTGCCGACACTATGTAATTGAAGATACCCTGAAAGTAGCGCTCTCCAAAATCACTTCAATGTTCGCAAACTAATACCTACAGTACACAAAACGTTATTCCATTTCATTTTTATGAAACAACCTTAAAATATACATATATACTATAGATGTATGCATCGAATTCGCGATATGAATGAGAGCAATAAGCAGTTTGATAACTATAAACTATGCCAAAGAGATTGCTACAAGTATGTATATTGTAACGTGACGGGGAGGAGGTTTCCAGAATACAACATTTCACAGCAAAGTTCTATTTACAAGTTTATTTACACTTTATATACAACGTACAACATCACGGTCAGCATAGTCCATAACAACACCCGAGAGACTCCTCTAATTTACCTCAGCTAAGCTATACAGGAGACAGCCTAATCACGTCTGTACTCCACTAGATCACTCCCTTTTCTCCCCGGACCACACGCTGGTATCCCCAAGCTATTACTGAGGCCAGCCCTGTAGCAGTGACAGTGCCCATGACCTTAAAGGTCAACTCTCCGGCTCAGCCATGTGCCAGCCTGCCTGCTATCAGTATCGTCCCCCCTCCCGGTGTCAATTAAAGCGTGTACTAAATACATGCCCCATCATCCTTATCAACTCATTATATACTTACTCTTAACACAATAGGCACAATTAGGGATATACAAACACCAATTTATCACAATATACATGTACATTTTACATAACAAATGTACAGATTTGTCAAAAGGTGAAGCCTTCAGTTAAAGATATATTAAAAAGGCTTCAAGTAAAGTGGTAGGTACATTTAACAATGAATATTTTAGCAAATGTTGTTATGGTCCTATACCACATATTGATATTGGTGACAAACTTGATAAAGCCCTCAATAGTTTCTAAAATATGCATTGTTCATATTTATAATTAGATATAGAGTCGTTCAGCATTTTGAAGTTATTTCCAACAGTTATTTGAACAGCAAATTAAGTATTGAAAGTGAAATTGATGACGTCATAATAAAGATTGATGATGTAACTATAGCAAATGTTCAAAATAGTCTCAAAACAACATTTGCCTTATTAATGCATTGCGATGGAAGGATGCAGAGCAAATGTAAATATATAACAATGAATGTTATTCCAAGTTCTACAAAGTTATTTGACAATTATGTAGTATATAACAGTTATCACCCATATATTATATTAAACCACCTACTGGTAGCATGGACAATTCATTACAATGGGTTGTATGATGATACATTTGAAGAAGTTAAGAAGACTTCAAAACAACTTAAGAATGGATTTTCCCATTCTTGGATGTATTTTTCTCAACAAAGAATGTCTGCTTGCGCCAAGTGACGTCCTGAACAGGTTATCGCATCTACATAAAGGTAATGCGCGTAAGAAAATAGTCCGTCATAAACAAATCATTATTAAATCAATATGAAAAAAAATTGTGACGACAATCACACCATTTTAAGTATTAATGTGCATGTGGAGATAATGATATTGGTCCGAACACATCTTTTCACATAAATGTAAGTTGCATGATTTTCCTTCGCGAGAATCTTCACTCTAACTTGGAAAGAACAATATCAAAACTGAAAGAGTTAATAACAGTCTGGGAAAAAAAGAAATCTAACTATGATTGAATAAAATGAAAATAAACATAAGCAACTCTTAAGCGTTTTACAGTACATAGATATACAATAAATACAATTAGCATATACATTAATCAATTCAATTTTGAGGAATTCGCAGGATCTGCCTTATCATGCGCTAACTACCTGCCTCCTGGCTAATATCTTCTTATGTGTGTATGCCTGCGTGTGTGCTGGAGATGTAATGCGTTCTGTTTGTAGTGGGACCATGCTTCCAACGGCATCATTTATAGTGCCACCTCATTTGAACGCTTCAGCACATACACCGCCAGATCCACCTCAGACCAATTTATACTCCACCTGGGTTGTTGGAGCTGTGTGGGCAGGAGAAAAACACTTTCTCTGAATATCCATGCGAACGAAGACTTCAGGGATCGAATTCCGGTCGCCTGCGTGAAAGGCCGGAGTGTTAACCACTCGACCAATCTGCCCATAATTAGACCAATACAGATTTCTAAAACACTTTTAATTCCTGAACTTACTTATCATTTTACAGTACTACATGTACTACAACGAATTATGATGAAACACTCTCTACCTATCATACAAAATGCTATATTTGACATCGCACATTCTAACTATTCAGTGTGGGTGGGTTCAAAAATTAATAAAGGATGATAATGAGTCAATGGACAGTTATACAAAAGTTTTTCCTAAATCAATATGAGCATACTATCTTGATATTCTCAGAGAATATAGAGACTATAAAACATTTGGACGGTTATACAAAATTACCATTGTTTTACCAGGATATCTTCCAAATCCTGGTTAGATAAAGGTTGATATAAAATCCACTTCCTAAAAGTATTACAGATATTGCAAATGAATTGATATGGGGGGATCAATATAGAAAGTTTAACTGGATAAACAACAACATCCTTAGAATAGCAGATCTGCTAGACCATCAAGGCAAAATTAATGAAAACCTTGTCTAATTACACTAGACATAAAAATGGATTTTAGAAGAATCCATCATGAAAAATCCATACAAAAAATGGTAATAAAAGTAAGTAACTCTGATAAAGCATGATAAAGTGAAAAGAACGATAACACTGTGTCTTCAATGAAATTAAATTATGCAGAAGAAGCAGTAAATTAATATTTTTTTAAATGTACATTTTATAGCAAACAGTTGTGTAGATTTGTCGACAGGTGAAGCTTTCAGTTAACAATATATTATAAAGGCTTAAGGTAAAGTGGATAATACATCGAACAATGAATGTCATTCCAAGTTCAAACTATGTGATATTTAAAGATTAGTACACTATGTTTTCAGGTTTTGTCGTGAGAACAAGTTTCTCATCGCAAACACGAGGATAAAATCGAAGCTCTCACGGTAACTCCCTTTGGCATTTTCTTGTAACCAGTGAATTAAATAATCATCAACTTCGAAAATGTGTGCCAGCGGAAAACGTCTTGCGCCTCCATGCGGGCCGCCATTTTGGAAACACTAAGGCTTAATAATGTTTTAAGGATGTATCTTCTCTTGAACATTCATGAAAAGTTACTGCAGCTTAACATTATTGGTATTATTCAGATATCCAGTATATGCATGTTGAAGTTGATAAGAAGGGGCACAAACACATGCTATCATAATTCATTGAAACGCTGAATTTCAATATCAGCGTCTGATCCAAGTGCGGCTAAGATTGCTTGTATAGGCGTGACTACGGCGGTACCATGAGTCGTGCGCCCGATCGCTAACCCTATACAGTGTAAAGATGTTCCTTCCAACATAAACACTGCTGATCCAGAGTCACCTGGCTGGAAAATGTTAATTCCTGATTTGTCTCCTATAATTTCATACTGGTTTTTCATATAGAATTTGGCCTTCATGGAGGGCAGTCCTAAGGCAGTGGACAAGGGCCGCACTTGTGCACCGTCCACTCTCAAGTAACCTTTTGTCAGGTGGGTTTCACTTCCGAATTTGACAACAAAGTTGCTTGTACCAAATTTTTTAATGTCTGGTAATATAGCTCCGTTGTTGTATTCCGGTAAATCATCAAATCCTGAAAGAATAGAACAGAATGTGATTCACAAACTCATTAAGGCATCTTTCTTGTGCTTGTATTTGTGTTGCATACCGAGTAGATCAACTTTAAATATGATACAAAGGAGGTTTATGTTGAGTTTGAATTGACAACATTAGCCGTTCACACTAGGAACCATTTACAATATTCAAGAACAAGATAGTCGATTGTTTAGGTAGCCCAATGTTTACCTGGTAAGCCGTACAATCATCCATCGATGAGCATGATAACCCTTACTACTATAGTTATGAACAAAGCACAACCTGAACTTGTTTTTATACATGATAAAATGTAGGTTGATTAAAAGATGTCATAAGCGCGTTCTAAAGGCTGAACATTTTTAAAAGTGGGACAATTTGGTAAATGTTAGCTTTTCGCTTTTACAGACGGGACGATATGTTTCAACAGAGCAAACATTTAAAGCAAATATTTGAATCACTAGAAAACCACCATGAGTGAGTATGTCAACCAAATAACGTTTTCTGAACAAAGAATTACTTTGTGTTATTTCGAGAAGTAATAATGTTTTCCACTTTTCTCTCTATACACAATTGATACACGATTGTAAACAACAAATGGATGACAAAAGAGCGAAAAATATCTTAATTTGAACAACACCGTAATTTCAATTTTGAATTCTGGATATAAAGCAAAATTTGAACGAAACAAAGATTTGTTCCGGTAGGGTAAGCGTCGTCTGCTTCATCAACGACACCCGCCATGTGCATCGAAGTCACATTCAAGCCATGTTTTGCTCTTAAAGAGACATGTGGTAATGACAACAAAGCAGCAATGATAACTGATGTGTATTAGCAAACGCATTGATATTACTATCACACAATGATACTGAATATTTCATAAAGAGATCATCATGGCGATTGAAACATTTACCCATTGTCTTCATCAACCTGTAACTCTCAAATTCTGAGTTATTGTTTTTGGTCAGTTTTCGACATTTATAAAGGAAAATATAAAATCTATTAACAATCCTCTCAATACCGAATCAACTGTGACCGTAACATGTAATGTAAGTACCGAAATTCTGACAATTTGTGAGGTATTGTTATGGTTAAATTATTGTTTAATTACTGGTCAGGTATTTTCAGGGCCAGATGATTGATTTATGAATTTTAGGTATAGAACGACCTATGCATTTTTCATAACCTTGGGATCGATAATATATTAAAAGATATGAAAAATAATCTGATGGAGAACACATGCAAAACAATAATTCCAAATAAATGTACCCACCTGCTTCTCTGTACTTGTAACTGTGATCATTAGCAAATCTGCCTTTATTGGGTCGCCGTGTTTCATCTGATATGGTCACCACGGCAACATCAATGCTGATATCCATACTTGGGTTAAAATTTACCCTGTGTACAAATCCACATGGGTTACCACTTTTGGAGGAAGCATCTGTAGCGGGTTGTACGACGAGACGTTGATTGGATCCATTATCGGTGAAGTCCACACTGTGTTGGTGAGCGACATCAAACAACACATGAGCGCATGTCAGGAAACCCATTGTACCTTTATACTGCACAAACGGACCAAGTGTTCCCCAACCATTTTGTGAAGGCAGCGCACCTATGTTACATCCCATTTTGAGCTTGTCATGGTGATTTGTGCTTGGTTTTGTCGGATATCCACCAAATTCAAAATATCCTTCGCGGACATCAATGTCAATAGAATCGTCTTCTCCCAAGGCTAATGTCGAAGGAAACTCTTTTTCCCCAAGTGGTACAACTCCTTTTGTACTACAGTATAGCACAACACACAGACACTTCTCCAATGCGCCTCCCTTACGTTTAGACCGTACGGTGCAAACACTGATAATATTGAGATTGCTGTGATTACACCACAGAGTCTTGCTGTGCGATTCAATGGCTTTATTGGTCCTTTCCATGTCCTGTTTGGAACTATCACCGTCTACTTCCTTGCTGTTTGACACGGTCATTGCTTCATCATCAACCCTGTAAGGGTTTCTAATCATCACCAATCCTATCCCGTCCTTTATGTGATTGGTCACGTGCACCACTTTTGGAGAATAAACAATAAATACTCTGGCCAATCTACCGTTTGCCTCTCTCTGATGACCAGGTACAACAGAAGGTTTCAATTCTCGATATTCCTTTTTCAGGCGTTCCCCAACCTCTGCCATGAAGAAAATCTCCATCGGGTTGCTGAGTTGTATATTGTTCATACAGTAGGCAATGTTCTGTTCGTCTGAATACTTAATCAGGGATTCCACGATCACTGGTTTCTTCAGAAATGTTGCAACAAACAAAGATGTAGCTTTTCTGTCTTTCATTTCGTCCAATAAACCTTCAAACACTCCCACTGGGATTTCTAGTTGATCATTCCAGTTAAATGTAGTAGAACTCCAACTCTGTACATGCTCAACTGCTTCTGGTGAACCAAACACTGCTATAATAATCAGTGGATTCACTGGAAAGTGTTTAAAGTCGAAACCTTTGCTCTTGAAATATGCTTCGAATTCCTGTAAAACTGCAAGATTACCTTCTTGGACCGCTTTAATGACCTTGGCAGAACCTACAATGTATGTATATGCTATTTTTTAAACATTACGATGACAATTACAAAATTGTTTACCCTGAACCAAACATGTAGAGGACATCTAATTTTTCACTGAACAGAAAACTAGTCCTTTATGTGTTGATAATACTGTCATAACACCTTCTGGTCAGTTGTAGACCCTTACTAATATAGACAAGGCTTCAATATTTGTTTGAAGAAAGAAAAAAAGAAAACAAAAACTGGATCACTGATATATTTTGATATTCCAATATGGCATAATATTGATTCACATTCTCAGATATATGACAAAAGAACCTTTACACACACACATATACAAATTATTAATCTGAAAATGGATTTGGACTATAGATATGTCAATATTACCCTCATTGTCCTCATAGGCCAGTTCTGGTAACAGGGACATGCCTGCTTCTCCTTCTCCATAGGTGCTTGACATCGATTGGGCAGTTTCTGTTGTATGTCCAACTTCCTTTTCAATATGGTAGTTTTGTAATGATTCCATGTTTATAATGATAAATTTACATTTGTGCTGCAATGTCACTATGTAAACCAACTTGGTTTCGAGTCAACAGACTATGAACGGGACGGATCAGTTAAATTGACGTGACCAAAACGTTACTATTAGAAACCCGGAAGTCACGGTTGACTTTCGTTTTGAATTGTTTGGTGATACTTTTTCTATGCTACCATAAAACATTATCCATAACATTTCTTTTTCTGTTAAAATAGTATTTACCATGGCCTATCACTTGTTGACGGAAATGAAATGGCCTTTTTATATATGAATCTTGTCTCCGACCACACGACAGCTGGTCAATGCTGTTAGTACAAAAACGAGCTGATAATCCGGCTCGTGCGTTTCTCCTCTTTTTGAATGAAATATCTTTTCAGCATCTACTAAGACGACAAGGAATATCATGTTTACTATTAGTTCCTTTTCCATCTTAACATTCAAACAAATGCTTCAACATATACAAATTACTAGACGGCAACATGCTTCTCGCGGCAACCGCGTTACTCAATTTTCGAAGTTTACGGACATGCCGCGGCGGTGTGACTTCTTAAACAAACGATTTTAATCAATATACAATATTGTTATGTTTTCAATATACTATTATGATTGAAATAATAAAACATGAAATAAAGTTCGAATGAATTGATAAAAAATGTTTTACGGTTGTTATGTCCATTGCAAAATAACACAGGAAATGCATGTGATTTCCACCGGTCGAACGTTCTAGTGAATTATGTTTGGACGTGACAAAGGTAATAATACGTATTAAACTGCTTTCAGATGCGGTTCAAACAAGGTAGGCATTATGAGTGCCAACTGCATTACAAGCAAATATATTGTGAACCGCTAATGGGGTTCATATCACTTCCCTGTTATTTAGTGAGCATTCATATACCTTTTTATTACGTCATTATATTTCTGATAAACATAGACACCATTCTTTATGATATATCATGTTGAGAGAGAGAGAGATAGAGAGAGAGAGAGAGAGAGAGAGAGAGAGAGAGAGAGAGAGAGAGAGAGAGAGAGAGGCTTCGATCATTATGATACGGCTTACAGGTTTACGTACAAGATATTCAAGGAGTTTGCCATTTTTATCCTTTTTGCTACACTCCTTCACTTGTATTCCAACAAGCATGTGCTTTTCATGTACTTCGATAGTCTGTTTTTGGTACGGTCTCGGTGTGAGAGCAGGATATGGCTTATACGGCAACATTTTATCTTTCAGGTCAGATTGTTTCGAGTACTCCAAGGCTTCAATCATTACGCTACGGCTTACAGGTCTAATGCCAAGATAATCAAGGAGTTCGTCATTTTGATCCTCTTTGCTGCACCCTTTCGTTCGCATTTCAACAAGCACTTTCTTCTCTTGCCAATCTGTCATTCCGTTTTCGAATAGTCTGAATATGAGCTCGCGAGGTTCTAGTTCCCTCAAAAGGTCGGTATAGTTTGCTTGAATGGTCGACGCCATACTGACCACATCGGAGGCAGTGTATTGCTTGGTTATTCCCACAACGATTTCCTTCAATGCCTTGCAACCTGCATACATTTTATCGTGATGTTCTTTTTCGACATTCTTTAACTGAGAAATAGTTTTTTTTCCAAATGGTCCATCTTGCTGTTGATTTCATTCAACATATCATTAGAACTGTGCATAATAGTACCTGAAGGCAGGAATGCTGGATTTTGTAAATCATCTGTTGGTTGATTCATGGTAAGATAAGGGTTTTCAGTAGCGATCGCTGATATGGAATCTCCTTTAAGTGTAATCTTCCTCATTTCTGTAATTGTGCCTGTCATTTTCCTTTCAAAGTTCTGAGGAAGTTCTTCCACTGCGTCAGCCTCCAGCGATGAGATTCGCTTCAGGACATAGGACGTGTAGACATCTGTCGGCCAGTCATGCCAAGAAGATTCACATGGGGTAGATCGAGAAGGGAAAGGCGATGGAGGAGGATCTTCCACGGGATTAATATAGTCACCTTCTTTAACAGGTAAGCTACACGAGTGGTCAGTCGGCGAAGAGTTCTTACGGGCCGGAATCGATTGCGATGTAGGAAGCACCAAGTGATATGCATTAGGTCCTTTTTGTTTTTTTTGCATATACTGAACTCTTTCTTTGTACTTCCAGTACTTTGACGGAAACTCTGAAGAGCTCCAGAACAATGAACAGTGGCGACCCTTTCATTGCCCCTTTCCCCTCTGTTCCGCTCGTGTGTCTGTATCGTAGTTCCCCTTCCGACGTGACCTCAATGGTGAGTTCTCCTTCGCAGTTGTTGATCACACTTGAAAAATCTCCAGACCGGGCATTCCTCCTCTCGAATACGTTAATTGGCGACCATCTTGACTGAGACCTTCTTCCTGGTAATTTGCTAATAGATAAGGATTGTGGGTCTAGCGTTGCTAACTCTTCTGGCTTTGCAGTTGTCGTTCCAAGTGTTATATGGTAAAGATGCGGTGGGTTCCCACCATTACTGGTACACTTTCAGTTTGGCTGTGTGTTTGCTTGTTCCCTCAAATTCAACATTGTCACCAGTGACTTCATGGAACTTAGAAGGTGGATCTATAAAAGATAGTTAAAGCAACAATGGGTCATGTTATAGTGAATGGCAGTGGAGTAGAGTTTGTTGAGAACTTAAATAAATGATAACCGCTACACAAATTACAAGGCTAATAATTTAACATTATGTATATTTCGTTAAGAAGGAATAAACATTCTCTAAGTACAGACATGGATCAGAGGTATTTTCCTCACCCATTGTTATTTTTCATATATGTTATACGTTTCAGCATCAACATAACACATCATCAAAGAGGTTTTTCTTCTAACTTATCATTTGACTATATTGACTTATAACCATATGGCCTTTTACCTGGTTTTCAAGGTAAAATATTTTAAACAGCAAAATCGATTGACCATGCCACTTTTTTTACCTTACCAAATTAGTGTAGGTAATTAAGCTTCGGAGATTTTTTTTGTATATTAAATATATTATCATAAATAAAACTCCTTGAGAGCGGAAAAATCAAATACAACTTCTCATTAAATCTGTTAATGTTTGTATTGGTAGCATTGCAACGGACTTATAATGAACACACACACACACACACACACACACACACGCTCTCTCTCTCACACACACACACACACACACACACACGCACGCACGCACGCAGTTGATTTCACCTTCAACATTTGGTAACATACATTTTGCCAAAAATTAAAATAAAATATATTCCACGGTAACATATTGTAGTTTCTTCCTTCTAAGACTCATACGCTCATGAACAAATATGGAAACACATGAGAATCATTAAATCACAGGAATAAGAAAAAAGCCTTTTGCCTTTGACTTTATATTTTGTATATCATAAATGATATAAACCATTGGTACTTGATTTTGAAATAGTTAGAAAGTATAAATAGCATTTTCATATATATTTCCTCAACTTACTTATTTCGGTGATTTATTACATATTTAATATGTGTTCAATTTTGTATTCATTGTAAGTAACCGAATAAGAAATGTTTAGATGTACTTACCGATGTTGAATGTGGCATTCCCAAATTTGATACAAACAACGAGCCATACATCCTGCTTGGAATCAATTGAGACTCCGAAAGTCTTGTCTCCGTAGGGAGAAACAACCTTGTTCCCAAGGTTTTGAACAAACACCTCACATGCCTTTCTATGAACTCTAATGTTATTGATGATGCTACACCTGTCGCTTAGATACAGTTGCCGCACTTGTTCTGGGCCACGGAACGAGTTGGGGGCAGTTTGCGTGACACCGATATCGACATGGCTACTACCGTCTAGTTGTAGCCGAAGCTTAGGATCAGAAGGACGTAAAGGTTGGTCACTGAAGAAGATGCCCCCAGAGTATCGCTGATCCCAGGATGCTTTATATCTCCCTTCGGAAATACGGACATTTTCTCCGCAAATATGGGAAAATCCCGTACACCTCTCCATAATCAATCTGCAATTTAAAAATTCAAGCCTAATGATATAACGTGTAAGTATGACCGATTATTATGTTTCACTGATACTTTGCCTTAGTTATATTGACTTTACGTTCGAATTGCAGTTTTGTAAATTCGAAATTATCTTATCGTCTCTGGCACCATGACTAAATACATATACAAATATTATTGTTTTTGGCATAATGACTAAATACATATACAGTTATTGCTGTTTCTAGCATAATGACTGAATACATTTACAAATACTTTCTGGCACAATTTCTAAATATATATACAATTATTAATATGACTGGTACCATGACCTAAAATATTAAAAAAACAAAAATGTGTCTTGCACAAGGACTGAATATATAGACATTTTTTTTTCTCTTGGACCATTACCAAATATATATACCCCCGCCTGAAGAAGCCCTAGAAGGTAGAAAGGCCTAGCGATAGATCGGACAGATTTTGCTTTATTCTACACGTGAACATATATTTACAATTTGTTCTCTGGAACCATAGCTTAACATATAAAGAAATATTTTTTTTCCTGATTTCATGACTAAATATAAATACAAATCCTTATATCTCTGGAACCATGACTAGGTATACACATACAAATTCTAATTCATTTTTTAAAACTTAAAACAAATTACAGATACAGTTTAATGTTAGTATATCTATCATGCCAAACAATCAGTGATAAATTACCACACTGTCACAACTCAATGCAAAAATAACCATACCATCATACTCAATGGCACAACTACCAGGCCCTCAAAACCCACATGCAAAATTACCCCTCTGTCAAACTGCAATATCAATATTACACCAGACAGCCAATTCTCAACGACAAAATTACACCACACCGTTAATACTCCATGACAAAATTATCAACCCTCAATAACCCTTCATAACAAAATACACAACATCGTAAACATAGGGGCGTAATTACTACACCGTCAAAACTCCTTAACAAAATATACAATAGCATCCACACAGGGGCATTATTACCACACTGTCAATACTCATTAACAAAATATACAATAGCATCCACACAGGGGCAATGTTACCACACTGTCAATACTCCTTAACAAAATATACAATTCCATCCACACAGGGGCATTATTACCACACTTTCAATACTCATTAACAAAATATACAATTCCATCCACACAGGGGCATTATTGCCACACTGTCAATACTCATTAACAAAATATTCAATTCCATCCACACAGGGGCATTATTACCACACTGTCAATACGCAGTAACAAAATATACAATAACATCCACACAGGGGCATTATTACCACACTTTCAATACTCATTAACAAAATATACAATTCCATCCACACAGGGGCATTATTCCCACACTGTCAATACTCATTAACAAAATATACAATAGCATCCACACAGGGGCATTGTTACCACACTGTCAATACGCAGTAACAAAATACACAACACAACATTGCAATACTCAATACAAAAAATACACGATACCTTTTACACAGCGGCAAAATTACCACATCACAAAATTACAACACCGCCCACACAAAATATACAACGGCACACTCGTAAAAGTATAACATTTACTACAGTGACCACTTACTGGGGCAAAACATACCAACAAGACGACAGATATACTGGTACTGTAACTACAACTAATTTCTACCGTTACTACTGCTACTACTTCTACTGCTTATAATAATGAAAATAACATTATGTGCACCATTAATATATCACCATATACAAATATTAACTTACGTTGTTCACCAGTCAGTTAACGTTCAATATACATATTTTATTTAACGTGAGTAAGGCCGTACAAGTATATGTGTGTTTCATCTTCCATACGATTTTTAGTGCAGGAAGGTAGGTATTCAAAAGATGTTGTTTTATCATTAACAACACAATTATTTATTGATAAGGTGTATTTAATTTGTAATAAAATTCGACTTTAAACGTTGCAAATTCTTTAGGAATTTCTTGGAATACACCTCAATGCTTCAATTTGTCGGTTCTACTAAATGAACTAACTTAAAAGCTATTGTTTAACACTTTGAATTTAAAAGGCTACAGAGCGAAAGATCCTTATTTAGTTAACTACAATACTGGAATGACGTGTTTTGCATTACGCATGCGTATCACCTTCTGTTTTTATGCACACTCACTTCCTGGTTGTCAATGAAGACGTAACCATAAATATCAGTTATATATTAATATTTTACTTTTATATTGATTGATTTATTCCAGTGTGTATGATAGTGCTATAACAAATTGTTTTGTTATATTACCATAAAGTTGTGTTGTTTTCATTCCGTCAGTGTCATTAATGTATTTGGTATAGCTGTGTAATTATATGTGTAGACATATTGTTTAAAGTTTATTATTTACCTTTGTATAGACAGAATTCGCGTGGCTTTGTTAACTAGAAAACCATATCTGTCATAGTCACACTTAACACTTACTAAGAAGTTCAAATAAATGAGGAATACTTAGCCCATGCATTGCTGATGGTGTATGCTGCGCAGAGTAATATTTGTTATAATTAAATGTGTAACAAACGTTTGGTTGAACTGTTCAAATGATATATCAATAGACCAAACATACATGCATACACATACATAAGTATTAATGTACTCATTGCCCAAATATACGTAATACAGTATAACATGATTTGAATACAACAGAACATATGTCAATGAAGCATTTCTCACCTTTTTTCAGGAATCGATTCCTCAACCACAAACATCTTCAGTATCCAGGAAGTAATTTTACAAACATGAAGACTTGGAATTCTACCCGTTTTCATTGCACCTAAAAATAGATTTACAGTGATGTCATAACGTAGTCCTGTAATAGAATACGTCTGGTTATGTGTTGCACGGTGAACACTCGCGACATTATATCAGAGTACACAGCACATGACACGTACCCATCCATAGCTTTACACACAATCAGTATTGGTACGACTGTCTGTAGCTGTTCTCTTACATAAAACAATTGTTTTAGTAATATACAAATGTATAGCAATCAACTACATGTAAACCCTCCACCAACACCGTGGTGATAGGAACAACGGATTAGGAGGGCCAAATCAGTAATTTCAAAAGATGGTGTTTAGGCCTTATTATCAAATTACATAACATGTCATAGCGTCAACACACAAGGATAATACAAATAATAGCTTCAACACCTTTATATATAAACAACAGATTATTAGACCGCATCGTCTACACAAAAGGTGTAGATAGGCATATACACAGCTGATTGATGGTCAACAAGAGTACAAGGCCAAGGGTGTTACAATAAACTAAGATATCGCTATCGTCAATTTATTGTTCGAATTTTAAACTTTCCGAAAATATCATGGATTAAAGTTTGGCGGTTCGATATCGTTAAGCTTACCATTATGAAAAATCGCTACCTTCCAAGTCACCTTATAAACTGTTTATAACGCTTCCGCATGTCCCTTGTAAATCATTTTCATATATTGTTGTAGATAATTAAATCCTCACCTTCTAATTTTTAAACTATAAACCCATACTGTATGCTAATCAATTACGTGTATTGTTGCATTAAATAATTCCTCACCATCTTATATTTTGAATACTCAACGCATGTTCCTTTTGAATATTCCACGTGTAATGGACTTTTTTCGAAATTATTTCGCACTTTTTTATATATTAACTCTTTTGTAAGACTTTGCAAGTTAACTCTTTGCAAAAATTGCACGCTTTGATAAAAACAGCATAAGGTCACGTGACATCAGACAGTCAACACAAATGGATCGAATGGAACTGTAAACGCAAATTGTGTTAAATAATTAAATTAATGATAAAACATGAACGTCAATACAAATTCATCTTAAATTCGGTGAACAATAAGACAAAAGGAACCGATGAAGCACTAAACAAAAAAGATCTGACATTAAACTCGACAAATTTCGGGAAGAGGGACCACGTGATTCACATGTGTAACCGATTTCTAATGCAATGTCGACATAATGATGACAAGTCAGTACATTTCATGGAGTTATTCTGTATCTTTTCTTTGTTTACTCCACTGGCTGCTTGACTGAGTAAATCCATTATGTCATTAATATTAATTTACTTTTCTATCGTCAAAGCATCATCGTTGTTTAAGATCATTTATTTCAGATGAATATTAGGGCCTCGATTATTTTTGATTATTTTTGAATGCCTTTTAAAACAGCAATGCTCAACCTTTGTAAATAATTGATGTGTTTTGTTATATATTTTCATGACCTCGCAATCTAAGTCCAGTGAGCTTGATTCACTGCCTACAGACCTATTAAAGCAATGTCTTGAAGCACTGCTTTCTTTGATTACCGCAATCATGAATAAATCATTGGTTGAGTCAAAGGTTCCATTATGTTTCAAGAAGGCACATGTCAGACCATTGTTAAAAAAGCCTGGAATGGACAAGGATAAGTTGAAAACTACCGCCCAGTTTCACATCTGCCTTTTCTGTCTAATATCTTGTAGAAGGTTGTGTCCCGGCGTTTAGAGGTTCATCTCCATGCAAACAGTCTCCATGACAACATGCAATCGGCCTACCGCATGGGACACTCTACAAAGACGGCCCTCCTACGTGTACGTAGTGATATAGCTTCTGCATTGGATAACAAGTGCCGAGCGGTACTTGTCATGCTGAACTTGTCAGCTGCATTTGACGTCATCGACCATGGTATACTTTATAAACGTCTGGAATACTCTTATGGAGTGACTGATACCGCACTATGCTGGATACAGTCATACCTGAGTGAACGACGACAGTGTGTTGCCATCGGATCTGCCACCTCACATGACAAAGTACTAGATTTCGGGGTTCCTCAAGGGTCGGTGTTAGGACCCCGAAAATATTGTATGTACTCCAAACCGATTGGAGAGATTTGTCGTCGCCATAGCCTTCACTATCATTGCTATGCTGATGACACACAAATGTACATGGTCATAAAACCACAGGACAGTTTAATACAGTCTCAGAAAGTCTGGAA